GCTTTATACAACACAGACTGTGTCAAAGCAGCTTTGCATTGTTAAACAGGAAAATAGTGTGTAGATAATGCAAACAAAATTCAGTTATGCTGTAAAGCAGCTCTAACAAGAGGACAAAAATAAACAGTCAATATTTCAGTAAAAGTCAGTTCATCGTTGATTCAGTGACTGTCATCATCATCCAGCTCAGTTCAGTTCTCTTCAAATAGTGTCTGTGAAATCAAGCCGTTAATAACCCCAAAAATGTAGTGTCCACCTGTGGCCAAACTGCGCCTACAAAACATAAAAACAAAATACAATTTAATTCCGTTTATGAGAGAGAGAGCACTGTTTCCTTTGTATTCAGAAATCATACCAGTCCTTTCTCAAAGAGATCCTTCTCTTCTTCAACCCACCGAGTTTGTGCTCCAGAACTCTTCACCAATGTAATACAGAGACATTCTAAAATTAAGTACTGTACTTATATATTATATACACACACACACTACCATTCAAAGGTTTGGGGTCGGTAAGATTTTTTATGTTTTTTTTTTCTCTATGATGTTCACCAAGGCTATTTGATTAAAAATACAGCAAAACAGACATACTGCGAAATATATTAAAATGTATTCCTGTGACAGCAGAGCTGAATTTTCAGCTTTTACTTCAAAAACAAAAGGTCTGTAACAATGTAAAAGTCTTTACTGTCATGTTTGATCAATTTTGTGTGTTCTTGCTGGATTATTAGTGTTTAAAAATCTTACATACACCAAACGTTTGAATGGTAGTGTAGGTGTTTACATATTCTTGAACATAAACGGATAAAAGAAGGGAGCTCTTTTTTTAACTTTAGTCTTCTCATTGGTTCATGCCACCTTTGGTGCTTTTTTACTGGCAAAATAATATCTAACAAACCACATTCATTTAATGAATGATCACATCCATTTATCATTATGGGACGTGAAATCCAAACGTGAACAAAATGAGAGTTAATCAGTGTGACGTGTAACGAGTGAAGGATACTGTTCCTCCAGCAGCATGCTCTCAATGGCCTGTCTTGTTCACACTAACAACAACACATCATATCCATTTTCAGAGTATCTTTTCATATAGTGTTAATCACCATTGCTAGCGCGATTTATTGTAATGCTTTTTTCCTCAGTTGGTCAGAACAAACATGGCAGACTTGTTACTTACTTGTTCTGATGACAATATCCGGTGAAAATTCTTATTTGGGTCATATATTCCAAGACATAGGCTAAATCTGTGATTCCTCAGTAACGTTACAGTACCCACACCGGTGCGGTGACTGACAGCCACACATTCACCTCAAAACATTAGATTCATCCGCGCTGGAGCCTTGCCTGCACACAACCCACGCAATGAAAATAATTCCGCAAGTAACTGCAATTGCAGGTTTCAAACAGAGATGGCGACAAAGAGGCAAAACTTACAAACTGCAGCTTTAATTAATTAGTTATGGAAAAATAACGCGATTAAAATATGTTAACGCACCGCCCCGCCCCTAGACCTGTATGT